TTGCTTGAGCAGAGAAAATCTGAGATTACTTAAGTATTTATATGAGAATTGTGTTATTCTGGTCAAATTGATAGATTTGCGTGTTAGGTGTTTACACGGTTGGCTTTGCTAGTCTTTTTTTTTTATTTGTGCCAGTCAAAGTTTTTTCTGATTCATTGTTCTGCTTTCTGTGTTGGCTTTGTTCATGCATGATGGCATCTCGAGAGCACAACAAGCCTATGAGGAGAACGATTGAGATCCCCTGTTTTGTCTTGGCTAAGAAATCAAATGGATTCTTTATCTTCAATCCACAGTAGAAGAAAGCTCAAGCATATATAGGTGACATTTCTAATTGGCTTGTGTTCTCAAGGTTCCGTATCTATCTCAAGTTTTTGAGGCAATAATCTTCACAGCTGATGGTGACATGAGGCAAGCTCTGAACAACTTGCAATCCACCTTCAGCTGATGAAACACTTTGGTTTCACATCATCAATCATACATCATTCCACATTTTTCTTTTCTCAGGTGTGTGACCAACCTCACCCGCGTCATGTCAAAAATGCAATGTTTTGGAAAGTAAGTTTGACGATGCTTGTCATGGCTTAAACCAGCTGTATGATCTTGGCTACTCTCCAACCGACATTATCACAACGCTTTTCCAAATGATATGGCTGAGTATCTGAAACTTGAGTTCATGAAGGTATACATCTGATTCTTCTTCACATCTCTAAACATCCCACTTTGCATTTTTCGGCTTGCCACGAATTTTGTTCTTTAAGAAACTTGATTTGCGCATATGAGAATCTGTGATGGAGTTGGATCATATCTCCAGCTATGTGGTCTTGTGGCTAACTTGGCCATTGTTGGTAAGGCTGTTTTTGGTAAGGCTTTGATGTTAGTAGAAACCAATTCGTTGAAAAGATTAGGGCTTTGAAGAACAAGAAGTATATCGATATTTTTAGTCCATGTACTTCTTCTTTAAACCCTAATCTTTTATCGTCTTTCTCAGATCAAATCTCGGAGAATATTGGTCTCGAACCCGAAGAAGATATGGCTCTTGAATCATTTGTTAATATTTTGTTTTTAAGTCAAATTTTCTCACAACCAATCAGATTTTCTCCGAACCTACTCCAACATGAATCAACACCTCGTCTGATAATGAAAAATCAAACAAGAATGAAAGAACAAGTTGGCTCAGCCAAGATTACTGAGCCCATCCATTCAGAGTAGTTGCGCCCTTGTTCGATTCTCTAGATTATCTGATCAGCAGATATTGGATCGTCTCATGGTGGTGGTTCAAGCAGAGAATGTCTGGATTCGCCAGATTACTTTCGTTCTACACACTATGAATTAGATCCCCTGTTTTGCCTTGCCTAAGAAATCAAATGGATTCTTCATCTTCAATCAACAATAAAAGTAAGCTGAAACATTATGATTAGCTGACATTTTTTGATGTTTCTAATTGCTTGTGTTCTCAATCTCTCTAGGTTCCGTATGTATCTGAAGGCCTTGAGGCGCTAATCTTCACAGCTGATGGTGACATGAGGCAAGCCACATTCAGCGGGTTTCGGATTGATACAAAACCTTGACTCACTTAGCTGATGAAACACTTTGGCGTCATATCGTCAATCAGTACATTTCTACACTTGTTTCCTCCTTTTTTTTCCCCTCACGTCTGTGACCAACCTCACCCACTTCATGTCAAGAACATAGTTTGCATTGTGTTGGAAAGTAAGTTTGACGATGCTTGTCGAAGCTGATTCGGACGTTTGGTAAGGCTTTGATGTTAGTATAAACCAATTCGTTGAAAAGACTAGGGGGTTTGAAGGTGAAATCAATCAATTCGTTGAAAAGATTATGAGGTTTGAAGAAGAAGTGTATTAATATTTTTTCGATGTACTTCTTCAATCCTCTAATCTTTTATCGTCTTTCTCACACCAAATCTTGGGGAAGATATGGCTCTTGAGAATTTGCAAATTATATTTTAGGATTTGATGGTATGGCTCTTGAATCATCTGTTAAGTTTTGTTTTTTAAGTCAAATTTTCTGGGAATCTCATTCACCATGAACCAACACATCGTCTGATAATGGAAAATCAAACAAGAATGAGAGAACAAGCGAAGAAGATGAAGATTCAAGACACATATCTTTGGTCGTCAGCTCCTGAAGCTGTATTTATTCATATATAAGTATGTCAAATATCACGCTTTTACTCCAAATATAGTATCCATATGTATGAGATGAATGGTAATAAAATTTTGAATGTATTTGTGGAATTTGATAACACAATACGAATAAACATGACATATGATTTCACAACGAAAAAACCCTTAATCATATGTTCCAGTCTCGTTCTTGGAGAAAGACCCTTTCTTTACCTCCCCGAGCATTGTGTTAACATAAACATGAGCATTGTGTTACATAAACATGTCCATGGCAAATACAATGTTAGAAGCAAAGTCGTTGATTTTTGGTTTTAATATTTTTATGGTAGAATAATGATGAATTGTAAATTTTAAGATATATTAATTGATTTTATTGAACTTTTATTGAAAGTTATGAAAAATTATTTAGTGTAAAAAAAAACAAAGCGTTTATAGTTACAAAACTAATTTGTCTTCTTAAAC